ATGTTAAATAAAAGCCCTGTTTCCCCTGAATAAAATGATATATAATAAGTGTAGGTGCACATAATATGAAGAGGCGAATTACACCTGAACAGACATATAGCACAAATTCCTGTTTTTGTTTACATTTTGTTTTGATCACAACGTGTACATTTGGCTCAGTCCTTAAGGGCTTAAAAAACACAGTCACTAAAGGGTGGCAAACAATCACAAACCATATGTAAAATAACTGAGATCTGTGTCACATCCACTGGACTGGAGACCAATATATGAGACTAATTGTTAGATCATTTAAAAAAAAAAAATAATTTTTAGAATAATGATTCATTTTATTTCATACAATTGGGCTGATTTGTGCCTTACCCTACACCTCACAGTCACTGGGCCACCCCCACCACTGCCACCAGAGACAAAAGAGTTTTTCACAATAAGAAGTAATAACAAAACGATGGGGAATTCTTTAAAGGACCACTCTAGGCACCCAGACCACTTCAGCTTAATGAAGTGGTCTGGGTGCCAGGTCCAGCTAGGGTTAACCCATTTTTTTTATAAACATAGTAGTTTCATTGACAGCCACTAGAGGCGTTTGCGTGTTTCTCACTGTGATTTTCACAGTGAGAGCACACCAGCGTCCATAGGAAAGCATTGTAAAGGAGGAGGAGAGAAGGAGGAGAGCTCTCCGCCCAGCGCTGGAAAAAGGTAAGTTTAAACCCTTTTCCCCCTTCCAGAGCCGGGCGGGAGTGGGACCCTGAGGGTGGGGGCACGAGTATGTTTTCCTGGCACTATAGTGGTCCTTTAATTAAAGAGGTCTTTTTATCAGAATTTTATTTATTAATCAGAAAATGATTTTACACCATTTTTTAAAAATAGTTTTTATTTGTACAGAAATGAGCAAACGAAAAAGCAGCATTACGGATTTCTTCACGAAGGCATCCAATAAAAAATCACATGATGATTCTGCAAGTTGCTCCACTCAGTCTGAGCCTTTGCTTCAGCAGGCGGTGTCCGCTGCAGAAACTACATCAGTCAGTGAATCGGCTGTAGTGGACATGGTTACTGATGTGGCTGAAGATGCCGATGTCAGTGATAACATTCTTCCAGAATGTTGGGACCAGAATCAGTGGCTAGAATTTAAAAAAAGTACCCTTGGCTGTTTGTAGACAATGGTCTTTTAGGGTGCAAAGTGTGTCGCGAGGTTAAACACCTTGGAGTGTCTGTTTCACAGGGTGTATCCATTTCTAAAGAATGGACCACTGGTACAATTACACCATATGGCAAAACAAAAAAAGATATGTTGACCTCACTACGTAAAAAAATCCACATACATAAGATTTCAGAAGCACATGTAAAGGCAGGAGATATCCAAGCAGTATCCAGAAAGGAGATTCTGCAATCCAATATTGCTGAACAGCAGAAGCATAAGTTTGCGTCCACTACTAAGGTATTTCGCACTGCCTACTTTTGTGCGAAAAAAAATCGCCCTTTCACAGACTTCAGAGATCTTATCAGCTTGCAGGTTGCAAATGGAGCTGACTTAGGATGTATTCTCCATAGTGAGTACACAGCAGCACAAATAATAGATTGCATTGCTAGTGAAATGAGAAAAAAGCTTTGCAAAGCAATTGTTGAGCAGGCTCCAAAAATTTCTGTTTATATTGATGAGTCTACAACAGTTTCTACCCATTCAGTGTTAATAGTTTATATTCGTGCCTCTGTTAACGGAAAAGACCCAGTCACTTTCTTTCTTGATTTGCTTGATTTGCCTAAAGCAGATGCACAGTCTATTGAAGCCACTCTTCTAGCTTGTCTTTCTAAATTTGGGTTCAGTAATGACTTTCTTGACGAGAACTGGATTGGGGCTTGCAGTGATGGTGCAAGTGTAATGCTTGGAAGAAAGTCGGGTGTTCTGGAACGACTCAGTCAAAATATCCACAGATTGTGAAATGGCACTGCTTGTGTCATAGGCTTGATTGTGCATTTCAGATACAATTGATTCTATTCCTGGTCTTCATCATGTAACATCATTTTTTGAGAAGTTGTATGCTGTGTATCATCAGTCACCAAAAAAATCTGGCAGAGCTCTCAGAATGTGCAAAAGAATTAGAAGTACAAATTCTTAAAATTGGAAAAGTTTTTTCAGTTAGATGGGTTGCTTCAAGCCAGAGAGCTATACGAGCAGTTTGGGAGTCATATCCTGCCCTACACAGTCATTTCTTGAAAGCAAGCTTAAGTTCAGCTAATAACAGTAAGCAGAAATCTGTATTTAGTGGCCTTAACAAGGTCTTGACATCAGTAGATTATTTGTTAAACCTTGCAGGGGTTGCGGATGCTGTTCAGGAAATGGGACTGTTATCTGAAGCTCTGCAAAGAGATGACATCACACTTCCACGAGCCTATCAGCTGATTAATCGTTCAGTTCGTGCCGTTGAAAAAATGAAAGACATGCCTGGCAAACATCTGAAAGAAGTAATGGAATCGCTGGAGAAAGGGAATTTCAAAGGTGTGACCATCAATCCAGAGAGTACAAAAGGCCAAGTGAGGATAAATCTCCCTCAATTTTATCAAAGTTTGCTGGATAATTTACGCTCCAGACTCTTTGCTTTAACTGCGAGCAACAGACCTGCAGCTTCATCACAGTCAGGTGAATTTGAAACTCTTGTCTCTGAAATTGACATCCTGAATTCACAGCGCTGTCCAATCAATGTGGACAGTCCGTGGTTTGAAGGTGAAGCGAAGCTGGAGCAGCTGTGCAAAAGATTCCGTCTCAGCTATGCATCCATCTGTGAAGGTTTTAGAGACTACATTGATAATGGTGGTGCAGAGATTCCCGAAAATCTAAAACCAGTGGTGACAGCAGTTAACAGTCTTCCAGTGACATCCGGTGATTGTGAAAGGGGCTTCAGTACAATGAATTTGGTGATGTCACCCATTAGGAGTGGGCTTGGCATTGAACGCCTGTCTTCTCTTTTGTTTATTAGTCTCATTGGGCCTCCTGTGCATTTATGGGATCCTTTACCATACGTCACAAAATGGCTGACCACACATCGCAGCGCAGATGATACTAAGTCTCGAAAAGTTGATAATCTTGCACGGCAAGGGCAACGTTATTCCAGTTTGTGGGATATTTTCTAATGGGCTGTGTGTTTAGTTTGTATACACTATTTGTTTCAGAAATTCCCTGCGAGGGAAAGATCACCCATTGTGGTGATTATTCTGTTAGTTTGACTAACAAGTTAACTCCCTCCCAAACAACACCATTCACTTTATCACAGTTGTTAGAACTGTTCTATATTAATTTGTTTATTGCATAGCTAATTTAATTAATTTCACCTGTTATATATATATTTGTTTATTGCATGTGAATTTTGCAGTTGTTTGTGTAAACTGGCACTTTACAATAAATGTTGCACTGAATTTTCTGCGAAATATATATTTTTTGGGGGGGGGAGGGGTGGGGGAGTGGATCTTGGGTGAGTTCCCACACTTTTTTTCCCAGGACTTGACCCCTGGTCAAGTATAAGGCCATTTTTTCACATAGAAATTTGCCAAATAGGTTATGTTGCCTTTGAGAGCATATGGTAGCCCAGGAATGAGAATTACCCCATGATGGCATATCATTTGCAAAAGAAAACAACCCAAGGTATTGCAAATGGGGTATGTTCAGTCTTTTTTAGTAGTCACTTAGTCACAAACACTGGCCAAAGTTACCGTTCATAATTGTTTTTTGCATTTTTAACACACAAACAAATATAAATGCTAACTTTGGCCAGTGTTTTTGATTACTCAAAAAGATTGGACATACCCCATATTGTATACCCTCAGTTGTCCTCTTTTCAAAAACATATGGTTTGATGGGGATTAATTACATTGTCCAGCTTCAAAAATGTCCCAAATAGGATATGGGTGCATGATGACCAGCTGTGAAAATTCCAAGTTGGAAAACTGGAATGCGCACCCTCCAAATAAGGTCTTTTAGCCCCCAGAGAACACAACACACCTATACATGGGTGGTATCACTGTACTCAGGATATGTTGCTGAACACGTATTGGGGTGTTCTTTGGCAGTAACCCTTAAAGTTCTCAGTACATGTATTATTAAATTGCTATGTTAAAAAAAATCACCAATTATTATTTTTTTCTTTAAATTTGGCATAGATTGGTGGTAAAATGGTTGCATGAAAAGAGTCAAAATACCCCAAGTTTAATACCTTAGGATTTCTTCTTTTAAAAAATATATACGTGTGACAGGTTATTCAAAGATTCCTGACAGATATCAGTGTTACAATGTAACTTTAATAATTTTGAAAAAAAAAATGTATTGGAAATAGCAAAGTGCTACTTTCCAAAAGAAGCTAATAACATGTTAACATTGGGTATTGCTAAACTCAGGACAAAATTAAGAAACTATTTAGCATTGGTGCTTTTTGGCGGTTGTAGATGTGTAACAGATTTTTCATCATATTTTATCATTTTTTATAGTAAGTTATATGATATGATGAAAAGAATGGTATCGTTAGAAAGACCATTTAATGGCGAGAAAAACAGTATATAATATGTGTGGGTACCATAAATGAGTAAGAGGAAAATTACAGCTAAACACAAGCACAGCAGAAATTTTAAAACAGCCCTGGTCCTTAACGGTAAGAAAAGAAAACGGACTGGTCACTAAGGAGTTAAACAGCAACTCGATGAATACTTGAAAAGAACATATTATTCATGGATATCATTTTTAATTTGTGGAGTAATAGCTTCTTTAACCAAGGAGAGATCTGACTGCCATTATGTGGTCAAGAATGAATGTTTTCCTAGTTTGTTGCAAAATTGGAAAGCACTTCAAACTTTCTTTTTTTTGCCTTCTTTTAAATCAACAGCAAAAACAGATGACTTTAACCCCTTCAGGACGGGTGACGGACGAGGTCCGTCACACAGGGGAGACCCTTAACGACGGGTGACGGACCTCGTCCGTCACGCGGTAAAATTAACCCCGGATCGCCGCTATCGCGGCGATCGCGGGGTTAATGGTGCTCCCGGTATGCCTCCGCATTGGAGGCATACCGGGAGCACCCGGTCGGGCTGCCCAGCACATGTGCTCGCTCTGACCACAAGTCTGAGCGAGCACATGTGCTCAGTATACTCACCTACCGGCTCCCTGCACTTCCGGGTTCTGTGTGAAGTGCAGGGAGCCGGATCAGTGATGATCCTGCCCCCTGCTGTTAAAAAAATAAAGTTAATTTAAAGTCCCCCCCCTTTACCCATTTTAATAAAAAATTAACCCCTTCCCTGCCAATTGATCACTGACTACAGTGATCAATTGGCAGGGATTACATTTTACTATGATCTGATTTTTTTTTTTAACACCTGAGGGTTAATTCTTTTTTTTTTTAACCCTCAAGGGTTAAATTAATTAAATTAATTAATTAAATTATTTTTTAATTATATATTTAGCTAGCTGGGGTAGGTGGAAGTTAGTGGGGAATTGGGGGATTTGGCGTTAGGCTAACTAGGGGTTAACGTTAAAAAAGTTTTAAAAGAAACTTTAAAAAGTTAAAAATTAAGCTTAAAAAAAGTTTTAATAACATTTAAGTAAAAAACAAACAAAAAAAACACACTTTACCTGGTCCAAATAAAAATTAACCCCTTCCCTGCCAGTCGATCACTGCCTACAGCGATCAAATAGAGATCACAGTATTATACTGTGATCTAATTTTTTTTAACCCCTGAGGATTAACTTTTATTTATTTTTTAACCCTCAGGGGTTCAATTTATTTAATTAATTAATTTAATATTTTATAACTATATATTTTGCTAGCTGGGGTGGGTGGGAGTTATGGGAAAATGGGGAATTTACTGTTAGTGCTGCTTACTGCTAGTTAGGGGTTAACAGTAAAAAAAAAAGCTTAGAAAAATATTAAATCTGTAAAAAAGTTTTAAGAAAGTTTACGAACGTTTAGGAAAGTTTAAAAAATTTATAAGCAAAACAAAAGTTTAAAAACTAGTTTTTAAAAGTAAAAAAGTTATAAAAAGTAAAAAAATACATTTTAAAAACGCTCATTACCACTACACCTGGAACAAACTAGAGAAAAAATTATCCCACGCCAAGGTTCAAAATATGCCTTTTGAATTACCCCAGGGTGTATTCTTTAATAAATAGTATGTGTTTGTGGGGAAGTTTCAATAACCAACCGTCTAAACTATTCCAAATTGGAACATGGACACAGCGTAAAACTTCAAAGTTAGAAAAAAACTGAATGGCTGCGTCTCAAATGCGCCCCTTCAACATCCACATATACCTGGCAAAGGTACATACGGGGGTATTGCTGTACTCAGCCGACATAGCTGAGCAACATATGAAGTATTATACAGTCATAGTACACATAAGGTTTGCAAAATATGCTGCGCAAACTCACTTTGTATGTCAAAAAGGCAGAAAAAATGCTTATTACCACTACACTTGGTACAAGCTAGCGGAAAAATGATCCCACGCTAAGGTTCAAAATATGCCTTTTGAAATACCCTGGGATGTCTTCTTTAAGAAATGGTATGGCTTTATGGGGAATTTGGATTATATAGCCTGGTAAAATACTCTAAAATGGGACATAGGCACAGCATAAAAATTCAAAGTTTGAAAAAAACTGGAATGGCTGTGTCCCAAATGTGCCCCTCCGATGTCCACACATACCTGGCAAAGGTACATACGGGGGTATTGCTGTACTCAGCCGACATAGCTGAGCAACATATGAAGTATTATACAGTCGTAGCACACATAAGGTTTGCAAAATATACTGTGCAAACTCACTTTGTATGTCAAAAAGGCAGAAAAAATGCTTATTACCACTACACTTGGTACAAGCTAGCGGAAAAATGATCCCACGCTAAGGTTCAAAATATGCCTTTTGAAATACCCTGGGATGTCTTCTTTAAGAAATGGTATGGCTTTATGGGGAATTTGGATTATATAGCCTGGTAAAATACTCTAAAATGGGACATAGGCACAGCATAAAAATTCAAAGTTTGAAAAAAACTGGAATGGCTGTGTCCCAAATGTGCCCCTCCGATGTCCACACATACCTGGCAAAGGTACATACGGGGGTATTGCTGTACTCAGCCGACATAGCTGAGCAACATATGAAGTATTATACAGTCGTAGCACACATAAGGTTTGCAAAATATACTGTGCAAACTCACTTTGTATGTCAAAAAGGCAGAAAAAACGCTTATTACCACTACATCTGGTACAAGCTAGCGGAAAAATGATCCCACGCTAAGGTTCAAACTATACCTTTTGAAACACCCTGGGGTGTCTACTTTAAGAAATGGTAGGCCTTTGTGGGGTAGATTGAATTTAAAACCTGCGAAGATGCTTGGAAATTGCACATAGGCCCAGCGTCAAAATTCAAAGTTTGGTAAAAACGGATATGGCTTGGTCTCCTATATGGCACTGTAGCTTCACAAAATAGTGACAAAGACATTCATTGGGGGTGTATTTTTACTCAAAAGACTTAGCTGAGCATAATTTGGGAGGTTTGAACTTAGTGGCACATATGAAATATACAAAACGCCCAGCAAAAATGCAATCCGTATGTAAAAAATGCACAAAATAATTTTTTTACCACATACTTTGGCATATATTGGTGAAAAAATGGGGGTATGTTAAGGCACAATATGCACCTTATGAGATACCCTGGAGTGTCTACTTTTACAAATGGTAGGCCTTTGTGGGGGTTTTTTGAACAGTCAAACTGTTATAATACCCCAAATGGAAGCTAAGGCTCATTAAATCCGTCTCTCAAAATTCTACTGTGAATACTGTAAAGGACAGGTCTCCTATATGGCACTGTAGCTTCACGAAATAGTGCCAAAGACATTCATATGGGGTGTCATTTTACTCAGAAGACTTAGCTGAGCATAATTTGGGGGGTTTGAACTTAGTGGCACATATGAAATATACAAAACGCCCAGCAAAAATGCAATCCGTATGTAAAAAATGCACAAAATTTTTTTTTACCACATACTTTGGCATATATTGGTGAAAAAATGGGGGCATGTTAAGGCACAATATGCACCTTATAAGATACCCTGGAGTGTCTACTTTTACAAATGGTAGGCCTTTGTGGGGGTTTTTTGAACAGTCAAACTGTTATAATACCCCAAATGGAAGCTAAGGCTCATTAAATCCGTCTCTCAAAATTCTACTGTGAATACTGTAAAGGACAGGTCTCCTATATGGCACTGTAGCTTCACGAAATAGTGCCAAAGACATTCATATGGGGTGTCATTTTACTCAGAAGACTTAGCTGAGCATAATTTGGGGGTTTGAACTTAGTGGCACATATGAAATATACAAAACGCCCAGCAAAAATGCAATCCGTATGTAAAAAATGCACAAATTTTTTTTTTACCATATACTTTGGCATATATTGGTGAAAAAATGGGGGCATGTTAAGGCACAATATGCACCTTATAAGATACCCTGGAGTGTCTACTTTTACAAATGGTAGGCCTTTGTGGGGTTTTTTTGAACAGTCAAACTGTTATAATACCCCAAATGGAAGCTAAGGCTCATTAAATTCATCTCTCAAAATTCTACTGTGAATACTGAAAAGGACAGGTATCCTGTATGGCACTGTAACTTCACGAAATAGTGCAAAAGACATACAATGGGGGTGTCATTTTACTCAGCAGATATAACTGAACACAAAATAAAACTTTGTACAGGAATAGCACACACCAACTTTACAAAATATACACGAGAATTTCTCTGTTATAAGTTTGTGTGCCAAAAACCAAAAAGAACACAATTTTACTCCAATATTTAGCAGAGGTTGGCGGTGAAATGGCTACGTAGAAAGTGTCAAAACAACCTTAGGTAAATAGCCCGTGATGTCTACTTTATATAAATATATACTTTTGTGTGGCAATTTTGTTTTCTTTTATGGCTATTAAGCTTACAAGACAAACATACCAAATTCTAAAATCGCTCCACATTAAAATTTTATTTTACTCCTTGTGCTTTGTGACCTGTAACTACCAAAAAAAAACTTAAAATCCCAGACACATTATATATTCTGTAAATCAGAACAAATAAATAAATTTATTTTTAATTACTTTCCTTAACCTGCACTAATTATGCACACATTATTATTGCAAAAACTGTAAAAAAAAACCAATATTTTTCATTTTTTTTGCATTTTTCTGTATTTTTTTATAATAAGTAAGCATTTATATATATATATGTTATATCAAATTAAAGCCCTTTCTGTCCTTTAAAAAACAGTATATAATATGTGTCGGTGCAATAAATGAGAGAGATGCAAATTGCAGTTGAACGCAAACAGCAAGAAAATGCAAAAATTGCTTGTGTCATTAAGCGTAAGTCAAGCTTCTGAAGCTGTGTCCTTAAGGGGTTAAAGAAAATTATTACTCTGCACTTAGTTGTAACTCTCCACAAATGGCCATGTGAACAAAACAATGCCCTGTTTTGTGTTTTAATGATGCATAAATGTATCTATTCCAATACATATATATGATTAATGTTTCGTTCATTGGTTGCTCATTTTTGGGGGTTTATCACAAGCTGTGCATGTCGCTTATAATACCCACCAGGGCAGACTGCCCAGAGTGCCAACTCTAGTTAGAAACTTAGAGGGTAATAAAGCCATGTCAACCTATACATTCCATCTAGGTTGAAATGCTTTGGACAAATAATGCATAAATGTAACTTCTGTATAAGCCGAATGTCTGCAGAAGGGCTCAGTGTTAGATGTCAGGAAGACATCTGTCAAATGCGTCATGTGACACGTGTCAAAAACTTTTGACACAAAATGTAGGGGACAGCACCTAAATGCTCATTGCACCATAACCACCATCAATGAGGATAAAGTTGATAAAGTTTTGTATAAAACAATATTAGACAATAAATGTGATCCATTTAAAATAAAACCTAAAATAGATTTGAAACCTACAAAGCTGAAATGCCCTATAAAATATGATTAGATCCTAAACTATAAAAAATGTATTCAGATTAAATCACATGCGTTATGAAATAATATTATAGGCCAAAACTTACTTAATCACTTCCTTTACTTTGATACTTCCAATTTAAAATTAGAATTGTTAGAAGCTATATTGTTCAAAAACCTCAAACGATTCAAAATAATTTTTTAACTAAAAGTTAAAAAAACAATAATATGAAACACGTCAAAAGATATGTTAACCTTGTTATTATACATATATGTTTCGTTGCAAAGTAAATCCGAAAAATCGGAACCAGAAGAAGTCGGGTATCCCTTTAATAGAAATGGAGCGAATAATCAAGTGAAAAAATAAAAAACTTTATTTTTTCACTTGATTATTCGCTCCATTTCTATTAAAGAGATACCAGACTTTTTCTGGTTCCGATTTTTCGAAATTTACTTTGTATTCAAATTAGGGTTAGGCCCTCATCTGTTGGATTTTCCCTTGAGATCTTGTCCTCCTTTTCTTCTTTTTATTTCATATATGTTCCGTTTCCATGAGATGAACAAACCATATAATATTTCTGAACTAACCATATGTTACTATAAATATTATTTACCATATCAATTGCCCTTGTATTTTGAAATAGTTGCCAGTTTTGTTCATATAGTTATACCAAATATGAATTCAGACATCATGGTAACATTATTGGGTTATTTATATTTCATAAACTTTCATGCACATATGTTCTTTGCATGTTTTATATATATTTAATTACCCAGATACAAAAAATGGTAGTCCTTGTGCATACTGGCCAATCCACCACTATAAATCCCTCTAATGTTGCAAATACTTAAACCAACTTTGATTCCATGTGTTTACCCAAAACATTTTTCCAGCTTTGGGAGTTTTGAAGATAAAAGGATTGATTTTGTTCTGTTTGTTTGCAAAGATTTAAACATGGGATTTTGACACCATCAGTTTTCAATTTCATTTATATCTGTAGGGCACAGAGATCCTATCTATGATTCTTTCTCACAGCACTAAAACTCTTGAAGACCCTTTAATTCTCCAGAAGTGGACTGACAGCCATGAGTAAAACAGCCTGTTTTGCAGGTATTCTTTTCAATTGCTGGTGTATTAACACAATATTAACATGATTCTATAGTACAGATTTTTCCACTACATACAGCTTTTTGTTTATACTGATCTTCCATTGTTTTATCTATTTCTATACCTGATGTATAGACTGAAGAAAATCAGCAAATTTGTTGTGGTATTTTTTAAATATTGGTGTGGAAAAGATCATATATATAAATTTACATCTTTATTGAAAATTTTCAAAAGATTACAGAGGCACAGTGTGTAATTATATAGTTTAAAATAGTTTAAAATTTAAAAGTGTAATGCCCTCTGTTTTCTAAATTGAGATGAAGGGATCGGACAAGCTAAAGTGTACCAATGTAGACAATTTTCGCAAAACTTGTAACGCTTCCAATTATCCTAACATTCAAAATTACTCAGCAGTACTCTGAACACAGTCTTTAGTACTAAAGCAACATATGTAATAAAGATGATTAAGATATACATTATCAAATAACATTTAAAATGGGGAATATAGCTTTAAATACATTTTAATAACTAATTTCTGACCAATAGTTAATTTCATCTTTATTTTTGGTTGCAGACCAGTGCAGGAATAAAATTGACTTAAAAGGTTAGACATTCATTTATGGTCTTGCATTTATTATTTTACGCTCTGAGTTAAAATTATGTGTTCACTTAAAGGGACACTATAGGCACCCATGCCACTTCATCTCAGTTAAGTGGTGCCATGTCTCTCTCATTTTAACCTGCAAGTGAATACACTGCCATTCTGCAGCACCACAAAAGTTTTATTGCAGGGTTTAAATGCGGATGTTATTTTGATAGACACCAGAGGCGCTTCCACACCTCTAGAGACCTTCTGATTGGCAGTTAAAAGCAAAAAAACATTTGATTGGCTGTTCATCTCAGCCAAGGAAACAGGACGGCAGGGCGTAAACCAGCTCTATATTCCAAATGCTATCGTGTTCCTTTAACAATCCATTCTAGTGAAATGATGATATAGAATTAATGTTTCTTTATTTGAAATAGGGACACAATAAAAAATTTTGAAATAGCGCAGATCTTTTATTTTTTTTTATTTTTTAAATTTGTTTGTTCTTTTTCCATTGGTTACTAGCTAATTTCAATCTTATAGAGTTTCTAGTTCACAAATGACATAGATATTTTTTAAATGTTATGTTTATCCTATGACAAGTCTCTTAGAACAATGTTAAAGTTTTTTAATGCATTTCATTTTTATTTGTATGTTAAAATAGAAAAATCAACATTTTAAGATAACGTTTTTATTCTGGAAAGTATATCTAAGTTTAATTTATTGTTTTGTTTTATGCTTTGTGTATGCATATGGATTGTTCCTGAAGTGTAGTCATTAAATTATATAGTCCATATATTATTCATAATGTTGCAAATGCATAAAGCAATTATTAAAATGGGATTTTTTTTTTTAAATAAGAACACATAATTTGGTATAATATGGGGTTTTCAAATTTTAAATATATATTGGAAAAAAATGCAGCACAAAATGCACAAGAAAAACATAGTATCATTTGTTTCACGATTGGTTAATCACCTATTTAAATACCTTATATACACTATTTTGTTTCTTTTTTTAAATACTATTATGTTTCACTAAAGTTTTGTTTTTCTTGTAACCTGTTCTACGGGTCAAAGAGGCAAGGATCATGATGGAATGCATAGTCCCAGAGGGCAGTTATTCCATATAGTATAGTCAGTATGTTCTGAGAATTTTAATGTCCCCAAACACACCTACTCTTCAGGCCAGATATGTTGCTTTCCTCCTATGCCTTAAGGTACTATTTATTTAGTGCTCCTAATGTCATGTAATTTTTAATAATGAACTCCTCTAGGTAAATGTCATTATGTACAGTTAATTTGTTTCTGAAGCATTGGTATATCTAAGTATTAGTGATTTGCAATACTGAGTAATAATGCAAGTACAAAGAATTAGTTCAACTTATACAAGTGGAGAGTTTATAAGTTATTAATATATTAATTGGTATGTCAAATAGCCAAGTTCCTTTTTTTAAAAATAAAGTTAAAACATTCCCCAGCCTCCAATTTGGTATTTTGATTATAACGCCATTTTGTAGAATCTTCTACAGTTGACCCTCTTTAAAACAGGACTCTGGTTGGAACAGTAAGTCTTCATGGAAGGGTGATGTTGTCTATTGTAAGTACTCCATGATATTCAGCACTAAACCTTGCATTTCTCACCACACTAGTACTTTTTCATCACATGAATATTATGGGTAGATAGACAAGTTTTGATCACCTTGAACTGAGGCATGATATATTTTCTTTCACAGCTGCAGAGGCCCAACATTGTAGCAGCTTTGGATACATCCACTACAGTACTTGAAGATGGTGGCATGGATACTTTTGATGTTTTAGCAGCCTTAGTTCATGATGATCAAAACTAGCCTTCCTACTGTACTTTTGACATGATCCCAGGTGAAAGTTCTCTTTATAGTATTTAGAATTAATGGAGAATATACCCTAATTAGCCACAACATTTAAATCATTGACAGGTGAAGTGAATAATATTGATTATATTGTAACAATGGCACCTGTCAAGAGGTGGGATATATTAGGAAGCAAGTGAACAGTCAGTTATTGAATTTCATGTATTGAAAGCAGGAAAAACGCAAGCAAAAAGTTCTGAGTGACATTGACAAGGGCCAAATAGTGATGAATAGACGACTGGGTCAGAGCATCTCCAAAACAGCAAGTCTTGTGGGTTGTTTCTGGTATGGAGTGGCTAGTACCTACCAAAAGTGGTACAAAGGAGGACAGAGAGTGGACCGGCATCAAGGTCATGGGCACCCAAGGCTCATTGATGAAGTGGGGATAGACCTTTTGGTCCGATCACACAGAAGAGCTACTGTAGCTAAATTGCTGAAAGAAATTGTGGATGTGACCATCAAAACTGGACCATGTTGCAATGGAAGAAGGTCACATATTCTTTTAGATCAGGATGTTGACTGGGTGTGTGTCCATCATTTACTTGGGGAAGAGATGGCAGCAGGATGCACTATGGGAAGAATGCAGTCTGGCAGAGGCACTGTTATTCCCTGGACAATGTTCTGCTGGAAAACCTTTAGACCTGACATTCATATGGATTTTACTTTGATACATACTACTTACCTAGAAATTGTTGCAGATCACGGACAACCCTTCATGGCAAAGGTGTTCACTGATGGCAGTGGCCTCTTTCAGCAGAATAATGCACTCTGCCACATTGCAAAAATTGTTCAGGAATGGTTTGAGGGACATGGTAAAGAGTTCAAGGTTTTGCCTTGGCCTCCCAATTCCCCAGATCTCAATATGATCAAGCATCTATGTGATGTGCTGGAACAATAAATCTGATCCATGGAAGCCCCATCTTGCAATTTGCAGGACTTAAAGAATCTGCTAATATCTTGGTGCCAGATAACCACAGGACACATTCAGAGGTCTTGTGCAACCCATGCCTCAATGCATCAGAGCTGTTTCGGCAGAACGAGGGGGACCTACCTGACATTGTGGATGAACAGTGTACATAAACTATTCGCTATTAATGTGGTGGTCCTCATGGAATATTGATATACACCTGTTAATAATAATCACTAGTGCCTAATCTGAATGTGTTGGAGAACTTACTGTTATCTCCCTGAGACTCTGTTTACAGTGGCCGGGTAGTCTAGTTTGATCTACTGGCCTCATTTCTTAAAAAAATCCTATAATTTAAAACCTGATACTAATCAAACAGATCTATTTTTAAAGTGGATAAAGAACTTGCAAAAGACATCATAATGTTTGCAAGGAAGTTCATCTGCTGCTCTTTCTCTACTTTAAAAATAGATTTCTATGAGTATTATAAGATGTTATATTATAGGATTTTTTAAGGCTACAACTACATTATTAAATGCTCTAATTGGTACTATCAAGAGAAAACATATCTGTCGCTTTTAAAGAAATGTTCTTCCTATCTAAACAATTCTCATTTTTATACTGAGATTGTGATATTTTCTTGCTATGGCTCTAGTCACTGATGTGTCATTGGAAGGGTAATATTTCGTATCAACATTGATATTGGAAGAAACATTTGAAGATCAGCAGTGCCAGTGAGAAAATTCTGTACTTTGCCTACAATACTTATTGTTTCATATTACCTAAAGATAAAGTGTGTTTCATTAAAATTGTAATCAATCAACAAATGTTCTGTAGGATTAATATTTGTTGATTAAAATTAAGAAAATGGTCCTCATTTCGAGTGTATTAATGACGTGAGAGATTATGGGTAAACACAGCCCT